TTCGATATCTTTTACGTAGTTGACTTAGTGTATTCGTTTTATAATAATCCATCAGTATTGCTCATATTACCGCTCGACTGTCATATTTTTTAAAAAGTCATTCGTATCGAAATGTATAACACTATATTTTTTAAGTTCAATCAACATAAAGTAATTTACCTAAACAAATACTTTTTGTTTCTATTTCAAAAGGCATTTTGATAGACAGTTAATTATATATCTATTAATTCAATCCTCACCAGCGATAAAATGAAATAGGCACAAACCACTTCTTATAACCTGTCCATTTATACAGATCAGTGACTGTTTGCTTACAACGCCATCTAGTGATAGCATTTACACAACTTCTTGTCCATTCATCGAAGCGGTCGCGGCCGCTTTTTAATCTGTCATCTGTCATCGCGTCTGCACAAACCACCAACGTCGTGCCGTGAGTTAAATTCAAGTTTTGCTGTATTTATACAATTTACTATACAGTGACATTTATTAATGCTCTCTTAGCCATTCAACAGATTGTGATGTAACTTTGGTAGGATGCATGGTAGACTGCTTCTAGTAAAAGATCTTTAAATAAATTTATTCAATGGAACATTTTATTTGTATAGTTTCCTTTGGTACGAAATTACCAATGTCATTGCTAATTTATTATGTTTTAAACCTCGAAACATATAATCAAAATTAACAAACCTCTCTACGGAGTTTTTGGCCAAAACGCAGAGTATCATTGCGGGATTTTTCCTAGCGATGACTTTCTCGCAAATCATCGCGTAATCAGATTGTCCGTCGCGTTGTATTGTCACTGAGAAATAAAACATTTTAGTTATATTGCTGATCAATATAATATTTGTGTGGTGCACCTGTAGAGAGAGGCATAGATGTAGAAATAAATGAATAGATTGCGTGAAAGGTGACATGATTTAGGGTGTAACTGAGACGAGGCATGACAGAGTTATTTAGTGAACGAAAACCCGGTGCGCTCTACGGGAGTAGAATAAGGTAGGGGAGATAATGAAACGGAGGGAAAGGGAAAGTGGATTTGACGGTGGAGACGCATAGGAAGTGGATATATACCCCTTATGTACGTCCAACCTCCATTTTTTATACTATAAGGTAAGGCAAACGAGCAAGCGGCCACCTGAATCCGCCAAAATGACGAAGTGACCACTGCCTATATACATCCGCAATTACAGATGCGTTGCCTACAGTTAATCGACGAAAGAAGAGACGCACATAAATAGGATATTGCCTCTTCCTATCGTCTCCTGCACCGTCAAATCCGCTTTTCCTTCCCATCCTTTTACTCTTAAGTTAAAGAAAGGGAAAGTGACTAAAATTAGGCCTCCGGCACCACACTGATAAGACGAAACGCAGAATTGCTTCCACTTTACGCTTGCCTTCTTTCTATTGCATTAAAGCGGGCTTTATCACTGTCATAGATCCATTGATTAAGGGAAGGATAGGGTAGGTAGGTAGGGGGAGGTCACCGCGATCGCTGCGACGGGTGGATGCCCTACCGAGCATCTGCGGGCAGATGAGGTCGGGGTCT